CGGCCTTGACATGCCCCGAGAGACAACAGAATATCAACAATTTCGTTTCTCAAATAATCCGGCATATTCCCTCCTTTTAAGTCGACTAAGAAAATTACACTTGAACTATCCTGAGAAGGACTGTTCGCGAATCACTATTATCATAAACAATACTAAAAAAGTGTTATTAAACAATTTAGTTGAAACTTTGTAGGCTTGTCCAGAATCACACCAGAAAAAAGAATGAAAATAACATGTTATCCCACAAAATGGAAAATGACACTTCTCATGAAGGCTTTTAATACATGAAGTCGACTTTGAAAATCAACCTGAAGTTTAAGCTCAAGGTCACTGTTGTTTGACCCTACAATTTTTTTGGGATATTGGGGTTATTGAATTATTGGGGTTATCGGGTTATTGGATTATTGGGTTATTTGGGTTATGGAGTTATTGGGTTATTACAATTAACCTTACTCTTGCCTGAACATCCCTTACATAGATGAAGAAAATCATAAATTTGACCCCTACATGACCTTAGGTGGGGGGGGGGGTTAACTGCACCCCACACATACGTTATCTGAACGTAGAATTTTCCGCTCTTTCCGAATCCGGGAACAGAAATATGGGTTCCTATTCAAAAAATGACTTTGACCTTCAAATAACCTTGAAAATGAATCTCAAGGTCAAATCGGATTTCACAGAAAGGTTGCCCCCATTGTCCCAAACAACTGTTGTCTGAACAATTTTTTTGTACAACACCAACCGTCGAAAATTTTGGGGCGGTTCCTTTAAAATGGGACACCCTGTATACGTTCATTGGGTTATTTGGCTAACCGATCAGCTATGAATAACCCAACAGATTGTTCTGATCACACTAGCGGTGATGTGTGTGTGTGTGTATGCGTGTGTATTATAGAAAATAACTTATTTGTTCATAAAAGTGTGTTCTCAGGTGTAAATGAGTACGATTGTTTATAGATTCTGAGCATTTCGATTTGCATTCAATGTGATATTTTGTAAGGATTCATCGATATATCTGATGCTTTCATGATACCGTGCATATCCTAAAAATCACACTACACTGGCAACGTGTGTGCATGTACTTAGAGTACGTGCTCCACTTTAACAGGTACAGTAATTGCCTAAAATCAGTTCTCTAACATTTTCTTCGTTTACATTGTTCGCATTTTGATCTGCATAGGATATAAAAAGTTTATGCCTAGTCGCATTGCGAAACCTGAAATAGATACGCACTCGCAAGAATCCAGCGTTATTAATATTTATATCAAGTTGGAATTCGTCATCATTATCGCTTACCAGCTTGTCTTGAACGTAAGATTGAGAAATCTTTATTTGATAAGTTCCTACAGTCAGATATCTAAGGTAATTTAAGTCGAGTACAGGAAAATCTAGAACGTTTGCATTATTAAGTCGAGCCCACTGTGCATTTCTCCGCGTTAGATTATCAACTTCGACTAATGCTTGCACAACGTTAGGCATTATTGACCTTCGAATCATTTCTCTTGCATATTGAACATCGGCATGTTGTATGGTTATAATAGGGAGATACCTGTTTATGATAGCTCTAGCTATGCTATAGAATGCATTCAGGTTCTTTGCATGTTGCATGTTTATTATTTGCGCTAAAAACTTGAAAATAGATCTGAGATGCCCATTTCGTGCTTCTACTATCCAACGAGTTTTAGTTACCATTCGTGTGTCATTTGCATCTGGTGTGGAAAGCTGCCTCTGCCCAGGTTGAATGAGTGCAGGCATCCTATGGTCAATACCAAGGCGCTGCAGTAAAGTTACAGCATCGCGATAACCCCTATCTGCCAATACAGTATCACCGTCCTCGAACCAGTTTGTTAAATTGATTCTCTTTCAAATTCATCTCATTCAAATTTTTTACGAAAAACTTCAGCATTATTATTACGAGCGTCTGAAAAATAAAGTCTGAAAATCGTAAGAATATAGCTGTGTGGGACTACTATGAGCGTTGTTTTCAATATATGTCTGTTTTTGTGAAAAGAGTATGATTGTCGCAATATACGAAAGTTAGAACTTTTATGTATGTAGCAATGTGTACTGTTAATTATAGTTATGACATTCCTTTTTACAGGATCATGATTGTAGAGCTCATTTGCAAAGTCTTTTACATGCTGTTCTATAAACACCTGCCTAGTTATGGCATCAAGCCCGGTATATATATTGCCGCTAGTGTGATCAGAACAATCTGTTGGGTTATTCATAGCTGATCGGTTAGCCAAATAACCCAATGAATATACGTATGTATAAATATACGTATATATACTGTAACGTCACTTTCTTATATCATCCAAAATCATATATTAGAACAAAAATGTTATTGAATGAGTAATCAAACTCTCTATTATTCAGTTATTTGACCTTAGGCTTTTCTCTTTTTTTCTTCTAATAGTGAAATGTGCTTAATAAAAATATGTAGCCTTCCAAATAGGCTTTCTTTTTCATCTATTATCACATGTTTAGCAAAGTGCCAAAGAAACTGATGCGTCTACTGAGCTAAGCTTAATAGCGCCGCTATCAATTCTTATAGACGTGTATAGTATAAATTGTAATTGGAGAGCGGTAAACCACGGGACCATACTTCCACGAGACAGATACGACGAACGTATTTATAAATGCGAGTCGGGGCTAATTTTCTTTAGATTATCCCCGCTACCTCGCCAGTACGCATAACATTGATTAGCTCATATTAGCCGCTTAGGTGAAATAGGATTTTTAGCCTAGAGAAAATCCCATTTTCTCTATAAGTTTTTCGTACAAGTTTTTGTTTTAGTAAAATTGTCAATATGAATTATCATAGAAGTTATGAATTATTTATATCTAAGTGTAGGTCTAAAATAGTTTTTTTTTCATTGAGCACATTTTACTATATTTATTTATTGTATGAAATTCAATCTATCTTTTAGTTCGTCAAAGAGAAATGAATTTTCTTTGCTATAATTATTTTGATAAGTTACGCTAAATCAATAGTTATTATGCTTTTACGTTAAAATATCATCGTTTAATAAAATTCTAGTGTTAAAATTATATCCGTGTTGGGAGTAAGATGATTATCACTCCCTTTAAAGGCTTATGTTAATATATCCATTCATTGAAAAATCCTTGTTTTGAAAACTGTGTCACCAGTTTAAAGGTCTGGCTTACTATGACGTCACGCTCCTTATTTGGATATGACTTGACCATCTGTTTATGTTATGTAAAGTCAAAGATGCTCTGAGCCTTAATACTTTTTTAACATTAATCTATGAGCATGCTATCTTAATGCAAAGGCGTTAAACGAGCAAATCAGACTGAACCGTTACAATACATATACACATGAATACATACATATATATATATATACATGTGTAGACAACACCTATACCGATATATGAGTACATATCTATTTATATATATATTTATATATCTCCGATAGAAACATCACTCCCGTGCTTACGCTATACAGCGTCTGAGTAAGTAAGTTAGACTTTGACAGACTAAAACTCTTAAACTAAGATCCTTGGAGCTTTGGATCTATGAAGACTTCTCTTCTACGTGTTAAAGATTATCATCTTACAAAGTTTCAAAAAAATTAACCGAAAGCCATTACCTATAACGATTCTACGGGGTCCCTTATATTTTTTAAGTGATATTTCTGATTTAATGTTTTGTATACCTCGTCTTATTATCTGCGTGTTATAATAGATTAATTCGTGATTGTGTATTCTCAAATCTATTTCATCCAGTACTTAAGAATTTCAAAGAGTCAAATGAAATTATATTGAATTACAATCATGTATATAGATTTTAAATTACTGCCCTTCTATTATTTGAACGAATCAAAGTTAGAAAAAAATAGATACTTTTTCCTATTTTTTAAGAAAGTATAATCGTAAACACTCTTTATATAATTTTTTGAATGTTTCTTTATTCTTTCGATCACTATAATTGTAAATGTCTAAATAATAATATGTATCACATAATAAAAATTCTAATGATGAATAACTAAGAAATAACACTGTCTAATATATTATCTAGGTATGAAATTAATAAAGAAGCTTTCAAAAATGTTGCCACATGTATAGCAAATAGGTATATGAAACTATGTAATTGTTATTAATATATGCCTTCATTCAAGCAGGTTATTTTGTTGCATGTATCAGAGAGTAACAATAAAAATAGTAAGAGGTTTCAAATTACACTATTAGTTTTATCACAGGATTCACTAACAGAGCTTTAGAAGTGAAAAACTATATTTTGTAAAGGTTTTTCAGTTATAGCTTTCACTGGGTATGTTATTTGATAAAACTGATCATGTCATCATGATCAGCGGAAAAAAATACATGGAAAACATGTATCTCAAAATAATTTTTATATAACGGTTAAATATATAACGGTTATATTATATAACGATTCTACGAAGCCAACTTTGTACACTGCCTACTCAGGACCTAATAGTCAAAACAAATTTTTGAGATACAGATCTAGAAACATAATTGTCGCAGCTTTCTAAACAAGTATATGACTTATCAATTGGGTTTAACGATATAGTGATCCAGTTTTGGGAAAAAAAAAACATTTTCAATATATCTCCGATAAAAACATAACTCCCGTGCTTACGCTATACAGCGTATGGGTAAAAAAGTTCGACTTTGACAGACTGTAACTCTTAAACTAAGATCCTTGGAACTTTGGGTCTATGGAGACTTTTGTTCTACGTGTTAAAGATTATCATCTTACAAAGTTTCAAAAAAATTAACCGAAAGCCATTACCTATAACGATTCTACGGGGTCCCTTGAACTTATTAAAAAAAAGTATGTTGACAATAAGTTTATTATATGAATATAATAAACTTCAGAAAGTAATATTAGTTTAGTGATATATTATTCTTTAGTTCCTGTATTTTTTTCTCTCATTCTTATAATACTTAACAAATTTTTATTTTTCTATCTAGGAACATTTTATTTATACAACATAATTTTATTTATTTCAGTGGCAAAAAGAAAATGAAGAAGCCAAAGAATTATTACTAGAGCAAAAATCACAAAAAACTGAAAACGTACAAGATTTAAGTCTTACCATACACAAGAAAAATTTATCAAGATTATCCCAAGAAAATGATTTTTTTAATTCACTTATTCACAAGTATGTAGAATCTTCTAAAAAGCAAGTAAAACAGAAAAAATCTTTCATAAAATCCAATAAAACTGATTAGTTCGTGTTAACGTAAAAATTGTACGATGTGTGACTTATATTATTAATAAAAATTTCTAATAAACTCATGAAAATCAATCATTGCAGTTAATTTTTGTAACAGTGTGGTCTGATCTATTTTTTTCTCTCTCTCACTATCCTACGGTCATTCGCCATACCTTCGAAAATGATGAAAAATACTATCAAAGTTACAGCGCTACCTCCCATATAGGCCAACGTTATATACTGCTGGTAATTTACTTTAGGTCCTCCACCGCAAAATTAGTCAAAATTTTTAATTTCAATGTCTCAGCTAAAAATTAACGTTCAATCACCCGGGGGGCTGGTTTTAAAAGTCTTTCTAAGAGCATTCAAATGGTATGACAAATGGATGCCATCGATTGTTTTTTAATTTTTTGCAAGCAATAATTCAACATTGACAGTTGGGAAAATTTTTTGCTAATTTTGAAAATTTGCCAAATCTTGGAAAAAAAACTTACAAAAGTTTAAGTTAGAGGATTTCCTAGCTTTCATCAAGCTCTATCTGAGTCACTGGTCAAAAAATTATTTTCATAAAAACCGGGTACGGGCACGGGCATTTTTTCCGAGAAGTGACAGTTTTTTTTAAACATTTTTTATCTACGTAAATTTTAATAATTAAAAAAATGTATAAAAGAAAGAAAGTTTGTATTTGCAAGTGGAATACTCAAATATTTTTTTTTTAATTTTTTCGAAAAACAATTTTTGTCGATTTAAAAAAAAATTTTTTTTCACAACTGGTACGTCAAAAAATGAAAAACTACATTAAATTTGTTATTCACTTCTACAACATTATTCCATAATAAATATCATGAATTATGCAAAAAAAATTGAATTATCTCTTTCTTTTTAGTCTTAGAAAAGTTGTTCTCTCTTTTTTGTATAATTCACGATATTTATTGTAGAATAATATTGAATAAGTGAAAAAAAAATATTACAGTATTTCACGTGAAAAACAAACATTTTTTTTCCTATACACTTTTTTGAATTTTTTGAGATTTGCGGAGATAAAAAATGTTCAAAAAACCTGTCACTTCTTCGAAACAATGCCCGTGCGCGCGTTGGTTTTGACGAAAATAATATTTTGACCAGTGATGTGACGGCGGGCCGAATGATTCGAATAAAAGGAAATAATTTTTTTTTCTTAGTATTAAAACTGAGGACGGAGTGAAAAACGTTACTCATGAGCGATGGGAACAGATTCGAGTATCGCAGGAAAATTTTCCTTGACAGTCTCCAAACGACAATAAAATCTGTATTCCACATTCATGTAAGCATGCGTTTTTTATATTTTTTGTTATTGCGTTCTTCCACCCCTCGCACCCTCGCTTTTACATACAAAGTGCATGCAGCCTTCGAACACGTGATCGGAGGGCGCCGACCTGCCGATAAGAGGAGAGGGCCATAAAATCGTGACTGTATCCTGTTCTCATCATGACTAACGAATTTTTCTCTTTCAAGCTAGAAATTAAGCATTAGAAATGATAATATAATTTTTTTTTAATTTGAATATTTTAACTTTAGCAATCTGTCACAAATAATTTTGGCCTTTCAAAACCTCTTATTGAGTTTGCGCTCCGGAGCTTAGTTTAAGCATAAAATAGAAGAAAATGAAAGAATATACGTTAATTTTAATAAATTCTCTGTTATTTGGCGAACTTTTATTACAAGAAATTAGGACAAATCAGCTAGTAAACAGCCTGTTAAGTTATATAAGAATTTTTGTTCCCCGATTACAATTTTGAATAAAGAAAACTGCGTAATTACCAATTAATTTAAATTTTTGAAATGATAATAGACAGTCCACGAATTTGTACGACATAGCGTGCGAAATAACAAGCATCGCTCTATTTTTATTATATTTTATTACTACACAATTAATAATAAGTGTACTTTGCGGCGGATTTAATTGTAATATTGTTCTTGGTATTAAGTAGTATATAAGTTATGTACGGTCGATTAGGTTTATTCCGAATGCGATTATTTATCAATTACAAAATTTTTGAACAAATCTTGGCTGCGAACGGTACTTGAGGAGCCATTTCGCGAGCCAAGGCCTGTACCTCTGCGTCCGCGCCCCTGATTTTCTCCACGTATCCGCTCCTATCAGGGTCCGAAAACCCAGCGAGGAAAAATCGGAAGATACAAAAAGCCAAATAACGCATTGCCTGCTCCACTCCTCCCGAAACCGAGAGGCTGAGAGAGGGACTCACCACCCACCGAATATAAAAAGGGCTGTGCAAGACCCAAAGAGTGGAGGGTGATTTTTCTCTTGGTACTAGTGAGGAGCAGATCATGGAAACAAGCCCAGAAAGTTAAAAAACCAAGCAGCCAGGCAGCCAAACAATACAAGAAGCGCAGCAAGTAAAAAAAAATCAATAAGTACAGAATAAGAACGCGCAAGATAAGAAAAAGTGTAATTTTCAATAAAAAAGTAAAAATTTTCTTAATTCATCTATCTCTCCACTATCTTAGAAATAGCTCGTGACGTAAAATTCTTCCCTTTTTTCCACATCTGGAGACTACTTTTGATAGGCTCCAGGTACGATTGTGATAGGAAATCCGGGTACTACTATTGATAGGACCCAGGGTACTTCGCGCTCTCGGATTACAACTATTGTTTAGAATCCAGGGGCAGAAGTATAGGTTCAGTGGAACTGTTCCCCTCTGTTAAAATAATTTTCGATTAGTGATCCCGCTAGTCTAGGCAAGAAATCGCATTTCTAGCAACAACGGAACCCTAAGACTGCGCCAAGGCTCAGGTGCACCTGAAATGTGTCGTTGCCACGACGTCACACTTAAATTTTTGTAAGATTTTTTACCACATACACATTCACACAAAACACAAGTAATAGCAACTACACAAACGAGAGAAAGCAGGTATTCGACGTCGGAGCAAGAATGGAAAAGAAGAAGAAACGAAGAAGAGAAGGAAAAAGGAAAACCAGAAGATAAAATTATAAGACACTAAGGAAAATAAGTGAGGTTGAGAAAATGAAAGGCAGAAGGAGCAATAAGAAATGAGAAAAAGGTGTCAAAGCCCTAATAAGAAGAAAGACAAGAGAAATGATTAGCAAGAAGGAGAGCTAAAGCAAAAGAAAGGCAAAGGTAAAAAGGCAAAAGAAAGTAGCAAAGGAAGAAGTCTAAAATAAGAAAATAAGTAAGAAAGAGAAAAACAGAAGAGCGGAAAAGGCAAATCTCGGAGAGAGAGAGGAAGAGAAGATTAAACAACAAAAAAATGACAAGAAAAGCTGAACAGACAGGCACAGAAGTTAGAGACTCAAGAGTTGCAGCACACCTACATACGTACACATATACACAAAACACACACATACACGCACATACATTAACAACTACACAAACTAGACACGAGACACAAATAGTAAAGAAGAATTGTACTACTATGGGCAAAAAGTAAGGTGAATTTTCAATTTAAACTTCGCGGGCTTAATATTTCGGGCTAGTTCTTTTTTTCTTGAGTTGGTAGGACTGCGAATGACATCTGGGACAAATTTCATGTCAATGTCATCATCAGTAATATATTTACGCTTGTGTTTACCAAACGACCAAGAGTGCATGTTTCGATTTTTACAATGTCTGATTTAATTGAGCAAAGAAGTGCCATCAAATTTTGTTTGCGGAATGAAATTTCGGCTGCGGAAACGTTGAGGATGTTGCGGAAGGCCATTGGTGATTCTACCATGTCGCAGAAAAATGTTTATAAGTGGTACAAAGACTTCAAAGAGGGTCGTGAACGTGTTGATGACTTGGAGTGCTCCGGACGACCATCGACGTCAGCAGATGACCAACACGTCAATAAAGTGAAGGAATTAGTGCTCGAAAATCGTCGGTTGACTGTTAGAGACCTTACTGATATGATCGGAATATCAGAAGGATCTGTGAAAACAATTTTGAAAGACCATTTCGGCCTACGAAAAGTCAAATCTCGTTTGGTACCGAAAACGCTCAATTTCTTGCAAAAAAGTCGCCGCGTTGATGTGTGTGAAACAATGCTTTCTGACTATCAGGACAAGCTCAAATGCATGATTACGGGAGATGAGACTTGGATTTATGCTTACGACCCTGAAACAACCGACCAATCAAGCGAATATCGTGCTAAAGGCGAGGCCAGACCGAAAAGAGCACGTCAAAGTCGTTCAAAAATCAAGGTCATGATGACAGTTTTCTTCGATTTTCGTGGTGTGGTGCACTATGAATTCCTTCCACCCGGCCAAACTGTTAATAAGGAATATTATTTGAGCGTTATGCGTCGTTTTCGTGAAGCAATTCGTCTAAAAAGACCAGAATTATGGGCCAACAACTCTTGGTTTTTGCATCACGATAATGCACCATCTCACACTGCACTCGTTCTTCATGACCATTTCGCCAAAAATTCGACGCATATCGTTCCGCAACCACCGTATTCGCCTGATTTGGCTCCGTGTGACTTCTGGCTATTCCCAAAACTCAAGAGACCACTCCGGGGAACGCGTTTCGAGTCGATTGAGGAGATAAGAGCTGAATCGAAGAAGGCGCTGATGACTATACCGGAAAGGGACTATTTGGCATGTTTCGAGGATTGGAAAAAACGTTGGCATAAGTGTATTTTATCGGGAGGGGATTACTTCGAAGGGGATGACATTGATGTAGAAAAATAAATAAAGATTTTTCATTTTACAAACAAATTCACCTTACTTTTATGTAAAATTTGATATAATTTAGAAGGAACGGATTTTTAACATTTTTTATTTGTTAAAGTTTGAACAGTAATGATAATCATCAAAAAAATGTTTGAACCATAGGGACTTTTTACACCAGCTACAACGTATAATAGCAGCATTTTATACAGCATTTTAAAGCAGCCTTCGATTTCGCATTTTGAACTACAAGAATCCCAGAAACTGAAATCAACCGGATTATCAAATTTTTCCGGTTTTTCTTCGAGATTTCCACTTTTAAACCAAGAATATTTAAAAAGATTTTAAAATATTTAAAAATATCTTGATGACGAAAATTGGTTATGAACCAATGACTGAAGCCTAATAATATTATTT